TCAACAATCTTTGTATCTTATAAAGAAAGGCCTTGTAAAGAAACAAGGTGAATTACTACAAATTGCTTGGAGTGCCTCAAAACGCATCCTCCTGTGAAATTAAGAAGGCTTATGTGGCGCTGTGGGTTAATGCGCCAGACTTCAAAGCCGTTTGAACTGCAAGGTTGGTGGTTCAAGCTCACCAGCTGCTCCTCGGTAACCCTATACAGGGTCACTATGGGTCAGAACTGACTCAATGGCATTTACCAACAACAACACCACCAATTAGCACTACAAGTATACCCCGACAAGAACCTAGAGAACAAAGAGGCAGCTGAGGACAAATTCAAACAAGTAGCAGAAGCCTATGAAGTCTTGTCTGAGGCCAACAAACGTAATGACTGTGACAACTCCATAGGGAATCTCATAAAAATGAAAAATAGAGACAACAGAGAGGTAAGTCACTTGGAGAAGGAAATAACATTTAAGAAGCCACATGGCATCTTTCGGAATATCTTTGAAGATGAAGACCTTTTTTCAGGAGATTATTTTTCCACTGGCCATGTGGATATTGCTCTAAAATTCTAATCCTTCTTTAATGTGACCCCAGTGTTAGACACAGGATTTTCCACTTTTGTATCCCTGGGCTCGAAACCAAGTCCTACTTCCTCTTCAACATTTGTACCTTTTATAAGCAGTGGAATGGGGACCTTCAGACTGGTTACCACTTGTAGCCAGATAGTAAATGGTAAGAGAGTTGTTACAAAGAAAGTGCTAAAGAATGTAAGGGGGAAGAATGAATGAGATGGAAAAACAAAGGCTATTTCATTAGATTCCTCTACCTGCATGCTAAGGAGTTGCTCCTGTGTTCTTTAACAGAAAGACTAACAGAAAGCTGGTGAGTCTTGATGTTTATGAATGATGTAATTAGAATCTTATTGGAAGAGCCAGAGGTCATTTTAGTCCAAACCTCTCATTTCACAGAGAAGAGGAGTAATAGACCAGATATTCACTCAAGCAGCACAGTTGTGTTTCTAGCCCAACTCCTCTCACTCTAATTGAGTCTTATGTCTTCTACTTTATGTATTAAGAACAATGGAGACACTACCACAAATATGGTTGTCTGAGTCAGTTTGCAGTACCCTATCATCAGTGACTCCTGGTTATTTCCCCATATCTTGTTGTTTCTCAAAAGCCCTTTTCTTGATATCTACTCTTTGCTCCCTAGCCCCCTTTGTCTTTGCTTCTTCTCTTCCCACCTAATCTCCTTTCTTTCCATACAGTCAACACTCACGCAATCAAAGAGTTACTTAGGTATAGAATAAAGTTGGCAGAAAGTAAACATTAAATTGGTTAAGTTTTTGTTTTTTTCATACTTTTTTCTTAATAGCTTAATGCTCTGTAGATGTCAGCTATTCTACTTAACATTTGTTATCTCAATAATCCTTTCAGCAGTGAAATACAGTAGCTTTCTCTTCCTTCTTAACCCCTTCCTCCATATAGATAAGGAAATGAGGCTTAGAGAGATTAAATATCATGTCCCAGGCTCCATCTAATAAGTGGTGAAATACTGTTACTATAAGGTACCTGCTTATCTACTTATCTACTACTCCATAATTTTTATGGATCTTACTTATTTATTTTTAATTCTGGAATGTTGTCTTCATTGAAAATTACACCTATTATCTCTGAACCTTACTTCAATGTAGAGTACTTGCTGGAATTTATTAATGGTATAAACATTCTGTATGTTATTACCAACAGGAACATGAAAGGTGCATGTTTTAACATAATCAATTTCAAAAATCAATGTAAAAACTTGCACTGAAGTTAACTGATGACTATTCTTTAACACAGAAATGTAAACAGGATCCCTGAAATGTAGATTATTTTTTTGTTTTGAATTTAATATGATGCACATGCAAAATCATGGGGGGGGGTAGGGATGTTTTTTTGTTTTGTTTTTTAATTTTTTGAGGTTTCTTAATTGGGCAGAACTGGTCACATTCTAGACCTTTCAATTTGACTAATAGACAGACTGGAGTCTAGATGAGTTGTTTCTTGTAGAAAGTTGGCATTAGGAACTGTGTCTTTCACTTTTCATCCAGTGTTCATTCTAGCTCCATCATCTGTCCCTTGTTGACGCCTTTGGTAAAATTTGGTTTCCATTTGCATTGCAGTCTTCTGAAATTATGTAGCACATTATTAGCTTTCTTACACAATTTTCCTATGTGTATGATTTTTTTTTCTACTTGTATGGTTTTTATTAACAAATGTTTTATGTAGTTTTTGAACCTTTTAAATCTCATTCAATTTTCTGAAATTGAACAAGAATATGCATTCATTCCTCTGGCAAAGGATATATCATTCAATCACTGAATACATTTCCAGAAAGTAAGCAGAAGGCAGATTTGGAATCTGAACACTTTCCTTGTCTTTAAAAGCCTCTATCTTTCCACATAATAGTCAGTGAATACTTCCTATATATCAGGCACTGAACGAGGTACTTTACATGAATCATTTCTAATCTCCAAAATCCTTCAAGGTGTACAAGTGAGAAAACTGAGACTCAGGAGAGTTAAATAATTTTCCTCAGGTCTTCTACAGTTAGTTCACATAGGATTCTGACTGTGGTCTGCCTTCCCCGACATCTCACATTTTCATTACTCCATCTTTTACTTCCGTGCATCTGAGAAGCTGTAGTCAAGGTTAAGAGGAATATTTTGTTGTAAATGTGAATGAACAATATGCATTTCAAGAATTCTAAAATGAGGATTTCCAGATGGAGTTTTCTTTTACTAACCCTGGTCTGAAGTGAACTGCAGTGTATCTTCTGAACAAAAGGAAAATTCAAATTGGAGCATGAAACATGATTTTACATTTTTTTCTTAAGAAAAACCTAATTTTCAGCATTTTTCACAGACACACTTGGCTTTTGAAAAAAATGCTGAGTCGTAGAATGATTTTTGCCCAGAATGATTTAAAAAAAAAAGAATCATATTTCAGTTAAATGGTGTTTTCTTGTATGGAAATGAAGTGATGTCATCTTTTCTTACTAATGCCTGCTTAAAATAGATAGCAAGTGTGAGCAAACAACAGCAAAGGAAAGATGCAGAGCCGGAAGGACTTTACGATTAAAAAAATGATTCCAAGTGAATCAGTATGCATCTCAGTGCTCAGGATGAGAAAGCATGGGCCTTGCCACAGCCTATAATAGAGATTCATTCCTGTGGCCTTACAATACCTTCAGACCTGCTACTGTGTTTGTCTCCAGGTGTCAAAATTCCCTCTGCCATATTTCAAACATGCAGCTTTCACTAATGGCTGACCTTTATTCACTGCCTAAGTAGAAAAAAATATTTCAGGACTGAAAAATCCATCCCTATAGCCTTAAATAATTTCAAACTCTTGCCCTATGGCACTCTTGCCCTATCAGCCTTTATATAATTTTGAATCATTGTCGCTCATAAAATTAATGTGTGACTTTTGTCTTCTAGTAGCTAGCAAAATACATAAATGTTTTCAAAGCTAAAAAACATCATAGACCAGTTCAAAGTAATTTCTGTTCTTATGCTCTGATTAGTGTTAGGTGGTTTGCAAGTGAAATGAAGACCATGATCCTGTCATTGTGATGGGAGGGATACAGTGAAGGGATAATACTTCCTTAACTCAGGGAATATTCACAAGAGAGGTGTCTCATGGGATCCTTTCAGAAACCCAGAATCCCCACAATACTCACCCAGGAAACAAAGAATAAGGAACTTGTCTAAGGTGGAAACCTGAGTAATTTAAAAATGCATGCTGTGTCCCCTTGCCTGTCAGTGGGGAAGGTAGGTACAGAGAATGTGGGTAAAATCATGAAGGGGTATGTCAAGTCTTTCCACACATGTACAGTTGGTCTAGCTCTTGAGTCCAGATCCCCTAAGAACCAGCTCAAGTTTTCCCCACAGTAAATAATGACAAAAATAAGGTGGCATTCAGCATTCAGTGCTTTCTTACCAAAAGTTTTAAACCACTTTCTGTATTTGAGATCTTCATCTCTTTCATGAAAAGCCCATTTTTATTTTCCCTTAAAGCTTTGTAGTCTCCAAGGTACCAGGAGTGAAGGTACCTTGAATCGGATTTGAAACTGTATGAATAAACTGAAAGAGCAGGAGAGGAAATTGTGTGGCTGATAAGGCCTCTTCTGCCTGTCACAACCGTATTTGGAATCTTGAAGATCTATGGAGAGAAGGATGTGGTAGGGGCTCTCAGCACTCAGGTTAAGGCAGGATGATTTTCCTTTTAAAGAATGGAAACAAGCTCAAAGAGGGTGAGTAATTCTTCAAATGCCCATTGTTGTGATGGACATTACTCCAGGAAGTCTAAGACTGTAGTTCCAATTTGACCAGATAGATAGCACATATGTACTTCTCTATGTCAAGAGAAGCTTAAGGAAATTATGAAAAGAATATTAACTTTGACTGTAGGTTTATTAGATGAGAATTCAAATCCTATGCTACCCTTTTTATGTTAATCTAAAATAAACTTTAAAAAAATCTTAGGCAGATTAATTTCTTGCTTGACCCTTATTAGTTTGCCTGAAAAATACAGATGATAATCCCTACTCTTTCTAATTCATAGAATTGTTTTAGGGATTATATAGGTAAAAAAAATTTTCAGCATAAGATTTAACACCTTTTAGAAATAAAAAAGTGTCATTCCTTTAGGAAGCAACATTTTTGATCCTTAGGAGGCATAATCATAATTTGCCAACCATCAGTGTTTTAATATATTTATGTGTTTGAAAGCAAGACCATCTATTGATTTGTTGTCATTTAAAGATACAAGTCAAAGATGGAAGATAAAAGTAGAAGATTCTGTTTTTGAAAAAAATTCAGCGCAACTAAAAAATGAAATGTTTTTAGCTTGGGAAAATTGCTATGACTTTTTCCTTGGAACTTCAAAAGAAAGACTTCTTTCCTCATTATCCTTGAGCTTTGGGACTTAAATGTTGGCTATACCCTCTGCTTGTATTCTAGGAAATTGACGGAAAATCCCTGCTATTGATGACAAGGAATGATGTGTTGACAGGACTTCAGTTAAAATTGGGGCCTGCCCTGAAAATCTACGAGTATCATGTAAAACCTCTGCAGACAAAGCATTTAAAGAACAACTCTTCATAGTGGAGTCAAATTGGGGTCTTAGACCTCAAAAAATAAATAATTACATAATTTAGTTTCATGTGATGAAACATTGTAAACAGAATACATACATGTGTATATGTAAGAATTTCAGTCAAATGAAAACGTTATCCTATTGGATAGAATAGGCAATCTATCTGCTGACCTGGATTCAACCCAGGAGCAAGGACACAATGAGGACAGCATGGTTTTTCTTATGTAGTTTGTCAAATAGAATGATCTTTGACATGATTAGGCACCCATTCCCACAAAGGCTTTGAAATCATAAGGATTTCCTTCTGAGGTTGGTTATACAAAATCCTTTTAAAAATTAATGAAATGGACATCTTTTGGTTACAGATTTAAGATTAAAAACAAGAAAACTTGGGGAGGGGAAGTAAAAAGAAAGGAATTTGCTGTCTTCCTTGAGTTCCCTGCTCCCTAGAGCTTGTGTTACTTGGATGGAATTGCCGACACCCTTTTTTTTATAGAGGGTCCTCCACTTGACCTTATTAAGGTTTCTTTGGGACATGCTGTGATGTTTGAAATAAACATACATCATGACCCCTTCAGGAGCAGAATCGTAGCTCTGGAAAGAGAACCCTGTTGTATACTGGGGATATCCATCCATATTCAGCTAGCTTTCACAGGGGGTAATGGTATTTTCTGCATAGATTTGCTTTTAAATTGGTCCTTTGGTTCCGAAGATAGCATTTTTCACTTATGGTTTGTATTTATGATAATTTGTTTCTGAAGAAATTTGTCAAGTGTTATAGTCCAAAAAGCCTTGTTCCTAGTACAAAATATTTTTATATATAAGATAGAAACACACACACATATATATACATATATATATATCCCTTCATGATGATGTAATATTTTTTAAATTGTTCTGATACTTTGCTTGATTCCTGATTTGAGTCCTTGTTTCTAAGAACTTGAAAAAGTGGGATTTTACATCTCTGTTCAAAGAGACATTTCTTCATTATCTGTGTGTCAATGCCTTGTTGAATTGGTGCTTTGTGGTTGCAATAAAGCATTGCTTCAGTTTATTCCTAGCGTACCTTTGATCTTTTCTGCTTTGTTTCTTCTTTAACTGGAATTGAAAAATAAATTCTCTCCTTGAAACCATGGTAGCTATAGAAACTATATGGATCTAGAGACCTGGTGTGGCCCTTCAGGATATTGCACTGAACTGCAAGGGTTTGAACCGCCAGGTTGGCAGTTTAAATTCACCAGCATCTCCTCTGAAACCATATATGGGGTTGCTGTGAGTCAGAACTGACTCAATGGCACTTAACAACAACAGCCACCACCTAGGTGGCACTGTAGGATAAGCACTGGATTGCTAACCCCAAGGTTGGCCATTCAAATCCACCAGCTGCTCCTTGGAAACACTATACAGGGTTCTATGACTGGGAACTAACTCAATTGGCACTTAACAACAACATATGTAGATTTAGTAGACCTGATGGTACAGTGGTTACACAATTGGCTACTAACCACAAGGTCAGTGGTTCAGACCCACCAGCTGCTCCATGGGGTAAAGATGTGGAAGTCTGCTTCCTTAAAGATTACAGCCGTGAAAACTCAATGAGGCAGCTCTACTCTGTCCTACAGGTCCTTATGAGTTAGAAATGACTCAACAGCAATGGGCATGAGTGCTGAAAATGGTTAACATACTCAGCTGCTAGTTCAAGTGCAACCAAATTCAAGACCAAGAGGTGCCTCAGAGGAAATGCCAGCTTATCTACTTCCCAAATGTCAACCACTAAAAATTCTGTGGAGCAGAGTTCTACTGTGATACACATGGAGTTGCCATGAGTTGGAATTGACTTCACGGTAACTCATGGTGATGGTAGTGGTGGAAGATATGGGGATGTATCTTCTCTTTACACTGAGTCATACAAATAGACCTAATTTCTTCCTTTCCTACTACCCAACAACTCTATGTACCACTGTAGCCCAAAATTACTTATTTATAGGCTATGGGGGTCATTATGTCTTTTTGTTTTTAAACAATAATGAAAGTTATGGGCCTTTATTTCAGACAAAAGTTCATATTTCCACATGCAAAATTTTGCAGAAATTTCATTGACTCTGAAGTTTCCTCCTCCTCATGAAGTCCCTATTTTGGGTGTTTTAATTCATTCCTGTGTAGAGATCATTTCCCTAAAGAACAGGAAGATTGAAGATGAAAGTGAAAAAAATATAAGAAATTATATAGTCAGTGGGGTTCAAAAATATATTTCAAATTAATTCAATTATGACACTTAGGATGTTTCTAAAATTTAAGTAATGTTTTGTTTTGTACTATAAGTGGGAGATAGGGTAACAAAAGAGACATGATCTATCCAAGTTTTCACAGTCTACTTGAGGAAAGCACTAAACACAAGAATATAGTTAACTGTGTGAAGAGTGTGACAAAATGTGAGAACTTCACTGGCTGGGGAGACGTGATGGAAAGAAAAGATCAAGGAGAAGGAATATGGAATATAAAAATTAATTAGACTTTGTGAAGGAGCTTCTCACTAGTAAAATGGTGATAATTTTGGAACCCTCCCTACCTCAAAGGGATAATGTAAGGAATATCTGGGCCCTGCTTTTGTGTGTCCATCAGGTACCTTCTGTCATTGCCTGGAATAGATTTGACTGTGAGCTCTAAAACTGCCTTCCTCATACCAGGTAATGAAAACAAAATCAAAGCTTGCTTCTTTTTCATACAAATATCCAATGAGAAGAACCAGGGATGGTCTGTTGTCAGGGACCCAAGCTCATCCAATCTTTTGCTCTATCATGTACTCCCAAAAGAATGTCATGGCCCAGAAAGGAGTGTTTCAACTCTTACCAGCACCATTTTAATTTGCAATCAGCAGAGAAAAGGAAAAGGATAAGGAATATACCTCCTGCCTTTAAGGATACTTCCAAGAAATTGTACATGGAATTTCCTCTTATGTTTTGGTGATCAGAAGTAAATTACACTGACACATATTTACTGCAAGGGGCAATGCACGTTCCTAGCTGAAATTCAAAAGTCACATTACTCTGCAGATAGAGGAGAAGGGACATTACGGGCAGCTTGCTGTCACCATAGTCAGCCAGCCATTGTACACTCCAAGCAAATGATGCTGAAAGGATGTTTTCAGCTGTACTTTTCTCTATATTTGAAATTGGACTCAAATTCCCTTCAATCTCTGGACTTTTTATTGTTGTTGTTTAGAATAGATACATAGCAGGACATAGGCCAAATCGACAATTTCTACATGCATAGTTCAGTGACATGGGTTAAGTTTTCAAGTTGTGCAACCCCGCTCTCACCCTGTTTTTTGAATTAGATAGGAAGCTTAAATTAAGATAAGTGTCCTAGCTGATCTTTCTAGCCACTGTTGTTAATTTGATCCCATATAGATAATTCTTAAAGGAACACAGTGCTCAAGAAAGAAATTCTGTTTTAGTTAAACTAAATATTGCTTGGTCTGGAGTTCTGGTGTAGTACTATAGGATAAGCAAGGTCATCGGTTCAAACCCACCAGCTGCTCCTTGGGAACCCTATACAGATCAGAACCAACTTGATGCCACTTAATAGCATAACAATAACATTGTTTAAAAGAAACCTTCAGGAGATATTTTTGGTTTATGGTTCATGGTTTAAAGATTATGTCAGGGCAATAGCTTCTAGGGTTCATCCAGCCTCATAGCTCCTACAACTACTGGGATCGTTGTCCACTAATGCTAACTTAACAACTAATCGTCAGACCAGGAGTGCTTTATTAATGTCAGTAAGAAAAAAAATAATAATATGGTACATATTTTTAAAGCAAAGAGAAAAGAATCAAATCATTCCTTTAGTCTTTTAAGCAAACTTACCAAATGAAACATAGCTTGCTGTCCGTAGATTCTGCATAACAGTCTAAGGTAGGCAGGCCTGAGTGTCTTGGCAATACGTGTAGATGCTTTTGTTTCTACCCTTCCAGGGAACAGCAGTGTAGTCAGAATAGGTTGCCATAGAAAGGCTGCAAGTACTCCTACTGTTAATCCTTGAATGCCTTGGGATTAGGCGTGCTGACCTCCTGTGCAGTTGAAATCCGTGAATAATTTACAGTTGACCTTGAACAACATGGACTTGAACTTCTTGTTGCTACTGGGGTGAGCTCAAGTGTCACAAGTATTCTCTCAGACACATCTGATTCCTTTTCAGACCACAATGGATTTCTATTCATATGATCTAGATCTGTAACTTGTAGAAAATACACAAACTGTGTGGGGAAGCACACGGAGCCCTAGTGGTGCTCCTAGAGTAAGCCATGGGCTTCTAAACATAAGGATTGTGGGAGAAAGATGAGGCTTTTTGCTTCAGAAACCCTATGGAGGGTGGCTATGAATGGACCAGGTGCCAGGGAGTGGGGACACATATGAATGTGAATGGAAAACAGCATGGCCCTGTTGCCAATGCCCTCTTTGACGAAGGCTTTTGTGGAGACAGTTTAATGTTGAAGTTAGCTTATTCTCAACTTGAGGACAGGAGAACAAACAAACATATAACAGTTACTAGGAATGATTTAAAAAAAAATTATTGCCACTCCACTGCCTCTCCCACCCTACATTCCAACCTCTGATTCAGACCCTACAAAGGAGACTGGCTTAAATAAGAAATCACCAAAGGAGTACTTTTCAGCAAAAGCTAAATCTATATATTTTCCTTGGGATAATTATTTGTTTTGTTTTCATTTTTCAAATTACATTTGCATGATTCTAGTTAGGCATAGGGATCCTGGTGCGGTGCCGGAGGATCAGCACTGGACTACTCACCATAGGCTCAGTGGTTCAAAGGCATCAGCCAGAAATCTTCTACAGGGTCGCTATGAGTCAGAATTGACTCAGTGGTGCTTAACAACAACAACAAAGGTGAGGCAGAAAGGAGTCAGAATTGACTCAGTGGTGCTTAACAACAACAACAAAGGTGAGGCAGAAAGGAGTCAGAATTGACTCAGTGGTGCTTAACA